AAGGAAAGGAAAGGAAAGGAAAGGAAAGGAAAGGAAAGGAAGACAGGAAAGAGGGAGGGAGGAAGGGAGGGAAAGAAGGAAGGAAGGAAGGAAGGAAGGAAGGAAGGAAGGAAGGAAGGAAGGAGGGAGGAAAGAGTAAGGGAGGAAGCAAGGAAGGAGGAAGGAAGGAAGGAAGGAAGGAAGAAAGAAAAAAAGAAAAGATAGAGAAAGGAAGAAAGAAAGAAAGAAAGAAAGAAAGAAAGAAAGAAAGAAAGAAAGAAAGAAAAAAGAACAAGGAGAATTTCCAGCCTGACAACTTTGAACTGGGTCAAAGACATTTTTCCTGCCTTCAGACTAGACCTAAAACATCGGCTCTTGGGTTTAGAGCCTGCCAGCCTTCATGCTGGAACTATCATACATCATCAGCTCTCCTGACTCCAGTTAGGTTTGACAATTCACCCTTCAGATATTGGGACTTGCCAGTCTTTGTAACCATGTATATCAATGTTTTATGATCAAGCAATCTTTCTATGTATACATCTGTATCTATTCATCTCTCTATGCAGTCATCCCTTAGAATGTGCTAAGGATTCATTCTAGAATACTCCCCTCATACTAAAATCCATGGATGATCAAGCCCCTTATATAAAATATAGAATTTTCATATAACCTATACATATCTTCTTGTATACTTTTATCATCTCTATATTATTTATAATATCTAATACAAAGTAAATGTTACATAAATAGTTGTTAAAGTATATTGTTTAGAGAAACATCCCACAAAGTAAATGCTACATAAGCAGTTGTTAAGCTGTACTGTCTACGGAAAAATCCCAAGAAAAATGTCTATACATATTCACTACACATGTAACCACCACAGGCCTAACTATGTAGTACACAGATGAGAGATGAGGCAAACAATGCTTAAACAAAGAGTGCTAGAGAGAGACTAAGGATCTGTAAAATGCGAAAGGCTACAACAGAGTTGCCTACATATAACTTTATTCTCATGGATACAGCACAGTATTCAGTACACAGAAAATTCACTTTCTGCTTCTGAAACTTTCTGGAATTTTTTTCAGTATATTTTTATCTGCACTTGGTTGCATCCATGAATACAGAATGCATGGATTTGGAAAACTAACAATATATCCTATTGGTCTGGTTTTTCTTGAGAATTCTAATAAACCATCATAGACTAAATCTTGAATGGAGAAATGGTCTAACCCAGTATGGTATTTATTCTGATATTGTGTACTTAATCTCACTGAACTCTCTGACGCCCAGTAATAGGGCTTCTTAGGTTCCTAAATAAGTAACATTTGATGAGGAAGACCAAAATAGCAATTATTCTAGAAATAGCTTCTGAAACAGAACAAATTCTCAGCCTACACCTTCTCTCAATGATGTTGAGTTGGATAATTAACTGAATTATGATTTGTCAAGAACTCTTATTCTGTTTTAAAAGACAAATCATCTATCAGCTAGAAATAGTTCTATTTAGTTGTTTTAAAAGGCCCATTTTCAAAATACTCCTAAAACATAAGTGACAAAGGAAAATGGACAAAGATAATGGACAAGACATTCACAGAAATATAAATACAGAGAACTGGTTAACAAAAGCCTCAAACTCATAACTAAGAAAATAATCATCTTTAACCTATGACACTGGCAAAACTTATAAATTTTCCTAACATCCAAATAAAGTAAAGAGACATTCTCATTCACTTGTGATGAGATTTTCTTTAAAAGTAATATGTAGCACAACCTAACTAAATTTTAAAAATGTACATACTACATGACATAGCTATTGTGATATTTGATCCTACAGATGTGCTCACAAAAATATATTAAGATTGACATGGAGCAATGATTGTATAAACAAAAATCAAAATAGTCTTCCACACCCAAATAGCTTTACCACACTAAATATTTAACAAGTCACATAAACAGCTATACACATATACCATATATTACTTGACAGCCATTTAAAAAAAGCATATGGACTTTATGTATGCAAAAAAAAATAGACCCAGGATATGAAACAAGTATGCATTCTATTTTAAAAGACAAATCATCTATCAGCCAGAAATAGTTCCATTTAGTTGTTTTAAAAGGCCCATTTTCAAAATACTCCTGAAACATAAGTAACAGAGGAAAATGGACAAAGAAAATGGACAAGACATTCACAGAAAAATAAATACAGAGAACTGGTTAACAAAAGACTCAAACTCAAAAAAGAAAGACTCAAACTCATAACTAAAAATAAGTATTATTTTCTGTAAAATAAACTCTTCTGATATATTTTAAAGAAATAAATATAAATATATATTCATAGTAAACAAAGGCAGCCAAAGAGCTCAATAGATAAACTTATAAACGTTTTTCTGGAAACACACTCTAGAAATTTGGCAGTGATTACTCTGGAGGAAGAAAGACTAGCTTCTGAGTGGAAAACAAGAGAATATATACCTTTTGAAATGTTTTATATGATACTAATGTTTAGTTACATGTATAACTTTTATTTTTAAGTGTTATTTTGAAAGAAAGCAGAGAAAATTCAGTTCTCACCTGACTGTTTCAAGTAGTGCTTAACAACTGAAGAAATTCCTTGAGGGGCCACAAAGTTATGGTCTCCTTCTTTCACCATCATTCCTTCAATAGGAGAGGCCAGAGGCTTCAAAATGCCATGAGCTAACAGTTCATCATAAAAACTGAAATAAATTAATATATGTAAATACAATAATATGAATGCATAGTTTACATGTATAAATACAATAATAAATGTTTATGTAAGTGCCTACAATGATTAGCGCTAGAACATTCTATTCTCTTCTAAGAACTCTTAGAGATAATTCCAAATCATGACTAGAAAACTTCATACGGTTAATGTATATTTTGTGTGAAATAAAACAGGGGAATAATAGAAATGTTTTGAGAATCAATCATCTGTTGACATTAGCCAAAGGCCTATTTTTCCATATGACTCAAAATGTAAGTCAAAGAAAACAGAAATATTATTTAGCACACCAATTTTGAACTTGGTTAAGACTGACTTCCATCGCAATTATGTGTCCTCTTCTCAACACTACCAGTAATTAAAATTTATTGCGTCTTCTATTTGTTTCATACACATTCTCACCTAATCTTCCTGACAATTCTGAGGGGTAGGTATTATAGTTCTCTACTTTACTCGGGTTAACCTATTGGGGCTACTACTATCGACCATAATAATATCATAATTTCAATAAAAGACACAAAGTTTCAAACTGTGTTTAAAAAATTATGTCCTTTTACACTGTACAATTTCCAAGATTGATTCTGACCCTGGAACTAACTTACGTTTGGTGTTTTTTAGCATAATGAGGAGTGCAGGTCACGTACTGAGCACCCAAATCAGCTGTGCAGTGCGGATTATGAGGACTGCTGGCTGTAGTCATTCTTCCCCCTTAAATTAATTCACAGGTAATTGTCAGGGCATTAGAATGAGCCTTTTGGAATTAATACAATTCACGCCTCCCTCTTGTTGCAATTCTTTTCACAATTACATTAAGAAACGGTCTTAAATTGAAGTCTCTGTCAGCTAATATTGTTACGATGTAGTTAAAAGACACAACTCAAGGGGCTGGGGATTTAGCTCAGCGGCAAAAGCGCTTGCCTGGCAAGCGCAAGGTCGTGAGTTCGGTTCCTGGTACCGGAGAAAAACCGAAAAACAAAAAAAAAAAAAAAAAAAAAAAAAAAAAAAAAAAAAAGACACAACTCAACCACAGTGAAGAAAAAAGCAAGGGAATTAGGGAGGGAGGACGAAGAGACTCAGGAGCAGAGCAGCAGTGCCTCGCACCGTAACTGGTGCACATATGTGTTTCAACGAATGGATAAGGAAAATGATGCACGGAGTGCCAGAGTGAAAGAATCAACGCAGGAGCTTTCACGCAGTGGAGATTCACAAGAATGACAGAATTCTGTAAGGGGAACCTTCGGAAATTCTTCCAAGTGCACACTGGGATTTTCAGATCTGTTGAAAATCGCAATAACATAGATGGTCCAACAGCAAAAATCCCTTTGTTAGGGACAAGGATGGGCTCTCGCTTCTCAAACTCCCCTAAATGCCACCGGCCCAGGATTCTCTCCACAGAGACCACCTCCCGCTCACTCCTCCCCTCCAGGGCCAGTCCCGGCCCCGCCAGGTCTCAGCCAAGCACGGCGGAAGGCTCCAGTCACGTGACAAGGCGCGCACTGCGCATGAGCAGGTCGTCGGGCCGCGCGTGCGGGCAGAAGTCGGGCCTCCCGCAGACGTGGGTGCAGGCCCCAGGAGTCCTGGAAGGTCGGGCCTCGTAGGTTTTTGCTGCTCGACAACCTACCCGAGTCGCCAGCCTTGTCCCACACAGCGAGGTAGAGCGGACCGGACACCTCTTTTCTCAGCAGCGCAGCGCACAGGCTTCCTGTCAACCCGGCGCCCACGATTAGCCCCCGCTTCATGGCGGGAGGGTGCCCCGACTGCGCCGCGCCTCGGCGGGGGAGCGGCCGGCCTGGGGCCTGGGGCCTGGAGCCTGGGGCTTGGGACCTGGAGATCGCGGCTAAGCTGCCCGGCGCCTCACGCGCGGTCAGCGGCCGTGCCCTGGGCGGTCCCGCGGCCGGCCGGCAGGGGGCGGGACAGGCGACCTGCGGAGCGGCCGGCAGGGGGCGGAGCGTGGCCGCTGGCGCCGCGGGGAACTGCAGCTTCCGCCCGTTGGAACCCATTTCTACCCGGCTGCCCCCTCCCAGAAGTGCCCGGAGTCCTGTGGAGCACAGCGAGAGCAGCTGCCTCGCGCAGGGCTGGCCGAGCAGCGAGCAGCGGCATGGCCTGACCTCTACCGGGACTGCCAGTTGGCGCCCGTGACTCCGCCCGCCCCCAGCGCTGGAGACTGAACCCAGATTCTTTGCCCTGAGCTACATCCCCAGCATTTTAAATTTAATTTGAGAGACGCTCTCACTAAGTCGCCCAGGCTGCAACCTCATGCCTCATCCCCCCAGAGTGCTGGGATTACAGGTGTGTGCCGCCACGCAGGTGTCTAATACTGTAGATGTGAAAGAGGACAGGACAGGAAATGTGCCAGCCATGCCCAGGCAAGCTTGCCTCTAAGGCCTGAGTAACCACTGTTAGGGTAATAAAAAAAAAAGTACTGCAAGCAGGGAGATTGTGTCAGTTACGTAACCTTCCTGACATCAATTTCTCCATCAGCACCCCTTCCAGAATTGTGAGGATTAAAGATAATTGATGTACCGGAAAACTGTAGATCACTCATCTCCAATAATAAGCTCTGTGTCCGCACACATTCCCTGGGGTCTAAAGGATAGAACGTGAATAAGATGATTCATGCCATTGCCACTGTACTGTTACCCAACACTGCCGTAGTTCTCATTGAAACAAAAAGCAATGCAAAGTGAATTACTCAAAAGTACTCAGTTACAGTATTTTACAAATAAATTATTACCTGAAAAAAAGCTAAAAAAACCTTGTATCAGCTAATAAAGTTGACAATGGAAGCCAGTTGAAATGTATTTTGAAAAATCAGTTTTACTTTATGCTCCCATGAAGAAATTTATCACGTGTCAAATTGCTAATGGATCAATATTACATATATCTAATAATCTAGAAGAAAATATAGGTGAACACATGTATTTTAAGTCACTTCAACTACACATGTATTCATAAAATTTTTAAAATCACTTCAAGCCTAAAAAGATGGAATTAAACAGAAAAACATTGGGTATGAAGTGATTTTTCAACTCCCTACATTGCAGAGTACACAAGGCAAAATATAAATGAAATTTTTATAACATAAAAAAATGAAAGTTTATCCTTAGTACATAAAATCTTAAAGACATAACTAAATGACTAAGCCACAAAGAAAATGTGCACAGATCAAAGAGAAGTCTTGGGAAAAAAATGTCCCATAAATATGTTTACCTTGTCTTCATTCAAATACATTTGGCAAAGACACAGCAAAGTATGCACTGGTATGTCACTAATTAAAGTATAATGGGTAAATTTTGTGGATGATAATGCACAAACATACTTTTATTTTGCTTCAGAGGTATTGTTTTTTTTTTACAAATTCAAAATGTGTTATAAAAGTTTTTATAATTATATGTGTAACCATTTTTTTAGTTATGAAGAGAATCTACCCTACTAGACAAAATAAGTTAATAAACCATTGACTTCAAAGTGCTTAAGTGTAGTTTAAGGTATTTCTCTGAATTTAAAAGCTTATATAATGCAATTCACAGTCATAGAATGCCGTAAAACTCAAAATTGTCTAGCTAGAAAAGACATTTGAGCTCATCTATTCTAATTGGGCTCTGTCACCACCATTTTACAGGTATTTACAAGCACCACATTTAAGGGAGTTTGCCCAAAGTTCACAGCATGTGAATGATAGGGCAGGTCATGGACCTTTAAATCAGCTCACCTAATCTTTTTCCATGTTTTCTTGTTTTGTCTTTTCTGTTAATAGATCATGTTGGACAATCAGGCTTGAAACTGCATAATCATCCTCTGTATCTTCTCTTTTGTCATCTGTAAGAACTAAGTCCTCAGGTCTTTTTGACCATTTCTCTATTGTCTCTTAAATTCAATCCCATCAAGTTCTACAACAGAAAAAGAAAAAGTCCAAATTCCAATTATGCCAGCAATGTATTAAAGTGTCTGGAAACTTTTTCTTTATTGTGCTCTTGCCAACTGTTCACATTTAACATTTTGAAAAGTAATTGCCAAAAAATTAATTGATTACTTGAGCTCCAGCAACCATTAGTTCTTACCTGAATAATTACATTAGCTTTCTAATTGGTTTCCTTACTTCCAATCTCTGTTCTACACTGAGAGTCTAGATTAGTCACTATTGTCATCAAAAAACATTCACAGTTCACAGTTTCATACAGAATTAAGTTCCACCCCATTAACTTGGTGTAAAAAGTATTCAGTGGCACTTTCCCAACCTGCGTTCACGTCTTGGTAGTCTATATATCCTGAGGGGAAGCTAAACGCAATTACTTTCTGTTCCCTGAGCATGTGCTCATTTCCCACTCATCTATGGCAGTGGAAAATTTTTGACTTGTGTTTGAAATTTGCATTAATCTGTCACTTTTTTTATTCTTTTGCTTTATGATCAACAGTATGCTCTTTTAAAGCTGTGTGGCTGCTCAACTTTTAAATTAGTTATTTAGAACTTGGGATCTTTATGGCCATACAATACAGGTAGGCTTGGTGGCTTGAAGTCCACAATAGGTTACATTTTAGTGCAGAGCTACAACTTTAGGCTGTTCCATCCATGGTTGTTTACTGACACTAGTTTGTCCTTCTGGAGTGGTGGACACTCCACTGAAGTAATGAAGTAATCTAAGAAAATTAAAATTGCGAACTAATTGGGAAAATCCCTTGCTCTAATATTTACTCTTCCTAGACACTTTTAACTTTTTCCTTATCTTTATTTCTTGGAAGGCTGTCACATTCTAGTTATTCAAGTCAGTTAAAAATTGCTTTAAAAATGTCCTTTTTAATCCTTCACCTAAAATAACCTCCTAGTGACTCTCTATTCAATTAACCTGTTTTAACTTTTAGAAGTTACCTTGGGTTTTTGCGGGGTTTTTTTGGCTATTTATTTATTTATTTTCTTTGTATTGCCAGAATTTAAGTACCAACAGGGTAGAAACACTATCGTATTCAGTACAGTATCCCTGGTAACTAGAATCAAAGTTAGAATTCTCAGAGACTGTGCAGGTTTACTGCCCAGAAGGTACACAAGAATTTGAGCATAACATATCAGGAGGTAATTTAGTTGGGTGAGTTCAGTAATAAATATCCCTTCCCACAGGATGGTTTTTAATGCTATAACGTGATTGTAATAATATAAAATATTCCAATCAGGAAAGAATACCTAGTAATGGCTATGCAGCTCTATGTGTCTTCACTTAACTGTGTCATTAATAACTTGAATAACCATTGATGGCATTTAAAATAGTAAGTGGCATAAAATCAAGATGAATAGTCCAATATTAAAAGATAGAATTAAAAAGATTTCAGTAGGCTCTTTTTGAAATAAATTTAGCCAAAAGAAAATTAGATGAGCATGTTAAATCATAACCTCATGTTTAGAACATAATTTTATAAAGCCAGGGAGAGAGTGTATAGGATTTTAGTTAACTCTGAGCTCATTATGAGTTGAGAGTATAACAGACTGCAAAGATTAAAATGAACCTAAGCTATAATGAATGAATTATAATGCTCTGAACAAGAAAGGTGATAGTCTCATCTAGCAGTGAGCCTCAATTTCAAAAACAATCATTCAGAAACTGAAGGTATTTCAAAGAGAAGTGAAAAGGATGATAAACTAAATTGAAATTATTTGGATTGGATAAAGATGACAGAGAATTCTGGCCTAGGAAAGATTCAGGGAACATGAAAAATGACAGAGAAAAAGAATTGCACATTTTCATTATATAAAAGTCAATTGAAAACTACAGGAAAGTAGAAACTGTCTCCACTCAAATAATATATTTAAGGAATAATTTTAAGTGGATACATCTGAAAATGAAATGAACATCGTCAGGAAGATGCTATCCAATTGAGAAAGCTTAATACAAAACTGGATGTGCATGTAATGAATAATATTCTTTTTTTAGTTTCCTTATAACTCTTAAGCAAACTTGGCTAAAAGAAACAGTCAATGACTACTTTGAGGACACATACATTGGACACCTAAAATTGACAAGAGCAGAGAGGTGTGGAATAATATTTTCATGTTGTATCTTGTTCCTGTAGTCAAACTAATCATGTTAATGACAGAAGCTAAAGATAAGTTATCATTCTCAAGTCACCTTTTAGGAAATCATATGGTAGTTATAGATGAGTGTTAATAGCAATATGCATATTTCACACCTTCACCATGTGTTTGAGTACTTTTGTTAACTGGGTAATAATCTTTAAAAATCATTGTTTACAATTTTGGCTACCCAAATTTTAGTGGTTCCACTTTAATCTTTGATTGCATTATGAAAGTTTTCCACTAAACAAAGTGAAGTGTAAGTGACTGGCTCATACAGTAGTATTTTAGAAGGTGACTATCATGGATAAAAATGTTATAGTGACTTAAAGATTAATTACCTGTTGTGCTAGGTACAATGTTGGAGTTCAAAATAATATTTTAATTAGCAGCAGTGATTACTTCTGTGAGATTTGTGAATTTAATTAGTAGCAATAAATTACAACCAAATTATCATTTCAATATGAAGCATTAAAAAAGGATTAATGCGACATTATACATTCTTCTTTTGTAAGCTTTCAAACTGTAGTGCATATTTTGTAGAGAAGTGTTAAACTTCTCAATTCAGTAGCTAAATTTATGTCATACACACTTGGGCTGCTTTTAGATTTAATAAAATTTATACTTATAAGAATAATTTAAAATACTTAAGTGATTTTAAACACATATAAAGTTTTGCAGTAATTCAGTTCACATACACTATATCAAGAAAGCCAATGCTGACATCCTTGTCTTGTTCTTAATTTGAGTGAAAGCTCTCAGTTTTTGATCATTTAGTATAATGTTGGCTGTTGATTTGTCATAGATGGCTTTTATCAGACTGAGGTAAAGACCATTTATTCCAAATTTCTATCAGTGTTTATCATGAATGAGTGTTAATTTATCAAATGCTTTTTCTGCATCTATTGAGATGATCATATGTTTTTGTCTTTGGCTCTCTTGATACAGTGTATTGCGTTTATTGATTTACATATCTTGAAACATCCCTGGATCCCTGGAATGAATCCTACTTGGTCATGGTGTATAGTCTTTTTGATGATTTTCTGTATTCTATTTTTCAGTATCTTATTGAGGATTTTTGCATCTATGTTCATTAGAGAGATTGGCTTATAGTTCTCTTTCTTGGTTGGGCCCTTTTCTGG